CACATGCACTTATTTTCTGTGTGTGCTCAACTCCTGGAGGATTTATGCACAAACATTTTACCACAACATGAATTGTATATGCCAAGGTTTTGCAAGGGGCCAACTATTAATTGCACCAAAAATCCCCAACCATCTCCTTGGAGTTTCAGGTTATAAAGACATTTACCCAAACCACCGATAATTGGCATATCCAGAGATATTCCTTAAATGTCATATCCAAAATAAATGAAGAAATAAAATTACTAATACATCTTTGGCTAAACCCTCTATTTACATATTTACACATAAATTACATTATTTTTTTCACAATCAACACTCTTTATCATTTTTATTTTTGATTAACACTTTTCATAGTTTAAAATTCATAAAAAAAAAAAACACTAAATTACCAACAAAATCAAAATATAAATAAAGGGTTTGATTATTAATTTTTAAATTTTTTATAAATTTTACATTATGAAAGTTTTAACAGAAAGTAAAAAGTTTTGAAGATATTAACCATAAAAAAATAATTTACAAAATGTAAATAGAGAGTGCACTTGTAGTTGCCGTTGGTTTGCAAGAAGGAATTAGTGGACAAATATTTGCTGTTGCATTGGTATTTGCATGTGTTGTACGTATTTCCCAACCAACTCTTTTTCATTCCTTTTGCGCTAGCTTGTCCTTTTATATTGTTATGCTTACTTGAAATAGTGTTTAACTTTATTTGTTATCAGAAATGTTTTGTGCAATCCATATTTTACTGAACTGTGCAAAACTAACCATTAGATTGGAACAGGCCCTCCCTCATCTGATGGTCCTGTTTAGCTTGTCCTTTTATATTTGCTTGCTTACATGAAATAATGTTCAATTTTATTTGTTATGTAGGGTCAGCACGGTTCTTTAGACTTTGTGAACAATCGGGCTATACTTGCCTTTTCAAATTGTTAAAAAATTTCTCTACTTAGAACTTGATTCAAGTAACATGAAATGTTATAACACTAATTTTGCTGCTAGGCTTTACATTATTGATTTCATCATTCTCTGAAGAGATCCCTGTTTTCTGATCTTTAAGCAACCTGTCTGCTTCAGTAAAATGTGTTCCACTGTCCTTTTAGGTGTAATCAGTTTGCTCAATAATTTCTAAAGTCTAGTTTTTGAATAGATAATTGGATAAAATATACAAAATTTCTTTCTTTTATCACTACCACAAATATGCAATTGAGGATTTGTAATGGAACAGGGAGAGATAGCTATCAAATATGGAAACGAGGTTTTGAATTATGGTGTAACTTCCTATTTATAATTACATCCCATGTTCCAAGTACCCTAGTTCATTAAGTCTAGTTTCTTTCAAAATTTCACTGTCATTTAACGGCTATTACTTCTTGATGTTGATAGAACTTTCTTATTTTTCATCCTAGTTTGGTGAGTTTACCTTCTTTTTTTTTTTTTTTTTTTT